TAACATATACAAACCAACCAGCAGGGAGCGCTGAGGGTAAAGGAATGCCGGGCTGAAGGGCTCCCATTTGAAATAAGGATGAATTTACAGCACGAAAGTCCGTTAAAAGTCTCCACTTGCCTGATTTCTTTTTTATCACAAATATTGGAGAATTCCAAGGAGATGTGGATGGTTCTATGTGATGTAGAGAAAGTTGTTGATCAATCAATTCCTGTGCTGCCTGTAACTTTTGAGTAGTCAAAGGCCACTGATCTATCCAAATTGGGTCATCATTTTTCCAATTAAGCTTTAAAGGATTCATTTCCCTAAGCTGTAGAAACATATTAAAAATGTATATGAGCTCCCCATTGTTTTAATATATCTCTTCCTAAAATAGAAACTGGCACCTCTAAGATATAAGGTTTAATAACAGCAACTTGACCCTCTTCATTTTTTATATGTATATGTATTGTGGCTTGTCCAATTGTATTTACTGGAGTTTTACTTACTCTTTTTATATTACATGGAATAATAGTATAAGTAATATGAGAAGGCCAATCAGTAGGTTTAACAATAGTAATATCCGAGCCTGTATCTATAAGAGCCTGAATTTTTTTATGCTCAATAAAAATATTAATAAGAGGTTGTTGTTGAGATAATTTAGCTGTCCACATTACATTAATAGGGTTAGTGCTGCCGAACCCTCCTGTTCGCTGAACAACAGAGGATCCTATTGGGATATAAGGCAGTAAAATGAGTTGAGCTATACGTTCTCCCTTTAATAATTTATAATCTGTAAGTGAGGACATCAGAATTTGAATTTCTCCAGTATAATCTGCATCTATAATTCCTAAATGAACAGTAATGCCTTTTTGATTTAAGCTAGATCTACCCGTGAGCAAGCCAAAAGTTCCTGCAGGCAGGGGACCAAAAATTCCTGTAGGAATTCTCACGGGAGATTGTCCTCCTCTTAATTCTACATCTTTTAAGGCTGGTATGTCCACTGCGGCGCTGTGTTGGGTGGCTGGCTGTAGGGAGAATACGGTAGATTTACCCCATTGATTTGTCCGGGGCCCGGGGTAGGGCCCGCTCTCCCGTTTCCCTTCTGTTCAGCTGAATTAACTTGTTTACTCCTGCATTCACGAGCCCAATGATTTCCCTTCCTGCACTTTGGACATAAGCCAGGAGCTCTAGATCTCTTTTTTTGATCATTGCCTACAAGTTTTGGACAGGCCCTCTTTACATGTCCTATCTGACCACAATTAAAACATTTTAAAGACTGTTCCTTTTTAGATTGCCAATTAGTCCACGTGGTTGCCATGGTTTCAGCAAACAGTTGCATTCTCCTAGATTCTGAATTTAAATCTTTACATTGTTTTATAAAACTGTCAATCGTTCCAGTATCTTTTATTGGAATTAAAGCCCTTTTGCATTCATCATTAGCATTTTTAAAAGCTAACATTTTTAAGAGATGCTCTTGTAAGTCTTGTCCCACTACTGTTTTTTCTATAACATTTTGAAGTCTTGCAACGAACTCAACATACGGTTCATTGGCTCCTTGCAGAACTTTAGCCCAAGATCCATATTCTGATCCTTTAGGCCGTATTTTATCCCAAGCTTCTAAAGCAATACTTTTTAATTGAGCATGAATCTCTCTTGGAGCTCCTGCCTGATGCTCAACAGTATCAAAGAAACCTGTACCAGAGAGCATCGGATAAGAAATGAGTCTAATATTAGGATCTCGATCGTCAGCATTTTGTCTTGCCTTTTCCGCACAACCTTCCATAAACCACATGTGCCACTGTAAATATTCTGGCTCTTTTAAAAGAATTTTGGCCAAGGCCTTCCAATCATAAGGAGCAAGATTACCATACTGATCTGCTACCGACGTTATTCTTTAGTGTAATGAGCCTGAGGGCCATAAAGGGTTACAGCCTTTTTTAATTTTGCTAAATCATCCATATTAAATGCTTCCCATCTAGGGGGAACTGCCGCTCCATCTATTGGCTGCGGCCTGATTACAGGGAAAGCAAAGGCAGGCTTTTCCTCGTCAGAATCCCCTAATTTTGGTAGATCAGCCAAAGCTAGCTTGGCTTTACTCCAATTAGGGTTAGATGGAGGAGGTGCAGAGGGAACTACAGGCGGGTTCTGCTTAACGGAGAGTTGTTTCACCTCTTGTGTTAAATGCTGTATAGCCTGTAAAATTGGGCGATTGTCATAATTTGATATTGCTGCGGCAGCTAAAGCTGAGTCGGCTGTAGCGGATTTTACTTTTGGTTTGGACGCCTTTTCACTACTTAAAGCGATAGCGTCATTTTGAACTACATTCTGCTCCTCCTCTGTGAGGGGCAATTCCTGAATAACTGGCTTAATTTCTAGTTGAAGATTTTCTACAATATGTTCATCTTCCATAGCTTTTAATAAAGAGTACACAACCGACCAAATAGCCCAAAAACGTAAAGGAATCTTCTCCTCCTGTTGCATAGCCCTTTCTATACTAACCCTTGCCTTCCTCCATACTTCTACATCCAAAGTTCCTTCATCTGGAAACCAAGGATTATATTCTTTAATTGTATCAATACACATATCCAAGTCAGCTGACCTGAGCGATATGCCATATATAGATAATAAATGTTTAAGAATTTTTAAGAAAGGAGAGGAAGCAGATTGTCCCATTTCCCCGTAATAAAATTATACTTACCTTCCTAAGCGACCTTCGGAGTCCCTGTTCGGGCGCCACTTGTCGTGAGTGTCTTAGAGCACTCTGAACTCCGGGAAAGGTAAACACGCACACACGCCTGATCGGGACACGGGGGGTACAGTGCTCGGAAAGGAAGACAGGACACGGCACCTTTACTGTCTGCACCGCGTTACACTGCACTGCACGCACAATCTTTATTTTAGGATTCATATATAGTAAACCCGATCAGTTCACAGAGCCCAGATAATTAAGTAGTGAAAAGGCATTCTTTGTGGCAAGCTACAACGTGACAGACTACAATGTTTATTCTAAAGCTATCTAAGTGAAGTAAATAATCACAACCAGTTCTCATAACTTCTCTAGCCCAGGAAAAAATTCATTAGCTCAAGAATGTTGTTAATTTGTCTGCTGTTAGTGTCACAAAGGGTGGCCAGCCACTTCCTCAAGACTTCTGCAAAACAAAGCCAGCTCACAGTATGGATTCCAGAGGGTGAGAGATCTCACTGAGAACAGGCATTCCTATTCTACCTCCGTCTCGCATACCAGGGGGGCTATTGTAAATTACAGGTTAGAGGGGGTTGGGCCTACAAAGTGACACCTCATCCCCCACACTTTTGTTTTTTTAGTGGGGTGGGGGGACAGTCTCACTATATAATTCAGACTGGGCTTAGGTTATGAAGCCCAGGCTAGCCTCCAATTCATGGTGATTCTCCTGCCTCAGCTTTCTGAGTGCTGGGATTACAGGCTTGCACTACCACGTCTGGCTACTACTGATCAGGTACTTTGCCCTCAATGTGGGTTACTTTTTTTCATGATGAAATTGAGGATTTTCCAGACAAGCCCAGAAAGGCAATATGCCTTTTTAGTCCATCTTATAAAGGTATGACATCAATCTTCTACTGGTGATAATAATCTTGATCACTTTAAGCATCTGTCAGGCTCTTCTCTATAAAATTATTATGAGGAGTTATTCTGAGGGTGTATAAACAGCTTATTTTGCAAACTTCTACCTACTTGTTTTAGCATCAATCAGGTGTAACTCATACCTGGAACAGTTAATGACATTAAGCATATCAAGACAGACAAAAAACCAGGTTCTCTTAATAGATTGGGAGTTATGACAATTAAACATATCAGGCTCTTACATCAAACCTTCTAACTGAAAAGGGACACCAGCATAAAAACTGATAAAACATGGATTAAGTCAATAGCTTAATAGTACTTTAGTAATGTCTTAGTTTGATAATTATGCTATGGGTATGTAAAATTTTAAAAACACTGATGGAAAGTGGATGAATTTTCTTTTTAATGGTAGTGGGGATCACACTCATGACCTTGTGCTTGCCAGGCAGGCACTTACTCTACTCAGTTAAATCCCCAGCCTCCAAGAAGTCCTACTTTTTGTTTTGGTACCAGAGATCAAACTTACAACCTCATGCTTACCAGGCAAACACATGAGCCAGTGAGCGAAACCTCTGGCACCTTAGAACTATTTAACAAATATTTTTGTAAGTCTAAAACTAAAGTAAAAATTAAAAATATTTCCTAAAAAATATAAATAGAACATTCTCACAGAATCATTAACTTCCTTTTTTTGAGACACGTGGTAGGGTGCTGAACTCCCAGGCTCAATTGATCCTCCTGCCTCAGCCTCCCAATTGCTGAGTACAGCCATGTACCACCATGCCTGCCTTCAGCGATATATTTTAATGTGCCAGTTCTATTACACTCCAACAGAGAGAAACCTAACAATGATTTTAAGGTTACTTGAAACAGCTTTCTCTAATGAACATAGACAGTGAATATAGTATGCTAAAAACTAGAAAAAGATGGATTATTCAATGAACAATATGGATTCATCAATCACTTCAACTATGACATAAAAATGTGAAAAACATTCTGCAGTTAAAAAGGGACAAAAATGAAAAATGATAGCGTTTTACTTTGTGCTTAGCACACAAGATAAAACCAAGTTTTGCAGAGCTGTGGGAAAACAGGTTTTCATAAAATGTAGGTCATAAATATAAATTTGAAGAGCAAGTTGCAGAAAATCTAAACTACATTTACTTTTACCATGCAATTCTACCTTTAGAAAAATGTATCCTAAACAATAGACAAGTACAGACTTAACGTTTTGTTCCTAGAGTTTTATACCCAGCTTTTATTTTTATTTTTTTGGTACCAGGGATTGAACTCATGATCTCGTGCTTGCTACACAGGCACTTATGCCACTGAACTAAATCCTTGGCACCCCAGCTTTTATTTTTGTATTCAAGTTTCAAGCAATTCTCAGTCAAGAAAATAAAAAACACACCAAAACCACAAAGCACTAGTATCTTTATTATGGCAAAAGTAGTCTTTTATACATTAACTAATTTTACAGTAAAAACTTATGTACAACTAGAGAAACCACTGCACAAATAGCCCCAACATAAAAAAAATGGTTGTAATTCATGTCCATTTAGCTGTTTAACACATAAATTGGAAAATATTTTCTCTGTAGAAAATAGTAAAAATGACAGTGTTTTCAGGTTAGTCCAATAAGCCCATTTAAACCAAAGAGAAGCTGAACTACAGACTTACAAATATGGTTCTTGGATCCAGAAGAAACATTACCTTCACTTAATGAAACACCCACATATTTTTAAAAAACAGATTGTATAAGGTGAAATTGCTATTAATCCTTCCCTCTAACTTTTTATACCTGATTGCCCAGTTATCATACCTTTATAAACCACTTACTCCTATCGAAATTTTACAATGTTTTGGTTGTTATTAAAGCATGCCGGGCATGGTGGCTCACGCCTGTAATCCCAGCGCTCGGGAGGCTGAGGCAGGAGGATCATTGGGAGTTCAGAGACTAGCCTGGGCTACAAAGTGAGCTCAAGGCCAGCCAGAACTACACAGCAAGACCCTGTCTCAAAAAGACCAAAAAAGCATGCCCAGCATTTGGACAAAACCAGAATCTAATAAATTGTAACCCACAAGGCACATGTGGATAGGCTATCACCCAAAATTTCTCCTAATTCCCTATGGCTTGAGGGACAGGAATAAAGCACTAAAACTGACAAGTTGACCAAGGAATAAAAGCCAAGAGAATTCCAAGAGGACAGGAGACACCTGGTCAGTATTTGAGGCTTACACTGAAGTTCACACAGAAAAAGGGTGTGGCCTCAGGATCAGGTGCTGGGTAGGTTATCAGGGCCCTTTCTGTAAGGTGCTCAAATAACAGGCAGTCAGAGTTACAGAGCAGAAATCAGAGCATAGATTTTGGTTGTTCAAAGTAAATGAAAATGAGACAAACCATGTACTTTTATCTTTCCTCTAAAACTTGCCAAGATTCCCATGATTATATAAAAAAGGACCCCATGCTACCCACTAGACGTTAACCTCTTGATATACATTAAGGTGCTGACATACTCTTCAGCAATGTAAGACTGCTTAGAAATAAATGGTGACACTCCACAGAATCTGTGACTTCCTCAGTGTCTAAGAAGGCCTGAACCCTGTTTGCTGTTCTACAAGTGAAGCGTGTTTGCAAATTACAAGACACTGTCCAAGACGGAGGATGGTCTGCCAAGAAAACCTCTAATGGAATAAGCAACGTCAAAAAGCAGCTAAGTGCTGTGGATGACGTTGATGACTTATCTCAGCCATCTGAAACACCTTCAGAGGGTAGCGAGTCACCGTCTCCTCAATGTGAGAAGACCTTGGTATCTGAAGATTCCAGGAGAGGAGCAGAAAGGAAAAAGTAAAAAATCTGAAAATAAACTGAGGAAACCTCAGAAGGAGCTAAGAGAAGCAAAAGAAGTAAATCTGCAGTTAGAACCTGAAGAAATACTACAAGAAAGAGAACTTGGCAATTTAAGACTTGCCTTAGAAAAAGTCTTGAATATTTTCAAGAAGTTGAAGCAAAGCCTCAAATTTCTCTTATAACACCTGGTAAGGAATTGAAGACTGCAAGAAAACAAGACGAGAAAAAGTCTTGAATATTTTCAAGAAGTTGAAGCAAAGCCTCAAATTTCTCTTATAACACCTGGAAAGGAATTCAAGACTTCAAAAAAACAAGACGAGAAAAAGTCTTGAATATTTTCAAGAAGTTGAAGCAAAGCCTCAAATTTCTCTTATAACACCTGGAAAGGAATTCAAGGCTTCAAAAAAACAAGACGAGAAAAAGTCTTGAATATTTTCAAGAAGTTGAAGCAAAGCCTCAAATTTCTCTTATAACACCTGGTAAGGAATTGAAGACTGCAAGAAAACAAGACGAGAAAAAGTCTTGAATATTTTCAAGAAGTTGAAGCAAAGCCTCAAATTTCTCTTATAACACCTGGAAAGGAATTCAAGGCTTCAAAAAAACAAGACGAGAAAAAGTCTTGAATATTTTCAAGAAGTTGAAGCAAAGCCTCAAATTTCTCTTATAACACCTGGAAAGGAATTGAAGACTGCAAGAAAACTAGACGAGAAAAAGTCTTGAATATTTTCAAGAAGTTGAAGCAAAGCCTCAAATTTCTCTTATAACACCTGGTAAGGAATTGAAGACTGCAAGAAATCAATCAGTTGAAAGAAGCACAGAATCAGCACACAAGAGCTTTGCAATGTTGTGAAAAAAATGCAAGACCTAGATAGGCTTGAATTGGAGAATTTAAATTGGAGAGTTTAAAAGTTAAAATAAAAAAGCAAGCAGGAAAAATGGAACGTGCTCAGAAACACCTGTTACATACCAATCTGACACAAGTAACAGGTCAAGAACATTCAGAGCAGTTAAGAGACAGTAACAATACCTCTGTGACAAATGGAAGACAGAATCCAAAACCTGGAATCAGAGCTCCATAAAATGAAAATTCAACTGGAAAACTGCTGGGCATGGTGGCTCACGCCTGTAATCCCAGCACTCAGGAGGCTAAGGCAGGAGGATCATTGTGAGTTCGAGACTAGCCTGGGTTAAAAAGTGAGCTCAAGGCCAGCCTGAGCTGCATAGTGAGACCTTGTCTCAAAAAGACAAAAGAACGCAAACCTAACAAACCATTGTCTAGTGAGCTCAACAATGTTCAGAAGAGGCTGGAAAGGGCAAATAACAAACTTGTGATAGAGTGATGCAGATCTTTGATACAGCAAGAGTTGGAAAAGAGCATAAATAAAAAGAGAAGCTACTGCTGAATTAGAAGCCTTTGAACTTTTCCCCAGATGATCTGCTAATAAGTCAAGATCTAATTTCAGTCACAAAAATATGAGATTTCAAGATAATCTGAAAAGACAACATTTTCTGTATTAGAATTTATATATATTTTAGGTATGTCCCATAAGGTGTAAAACATAAAAACTTTCTCGAGAGGAAAAAAAAAAAAAAAAAAAAAAAAAAAAAAAAAAAAAAAAGACTGCTCCCTCACTTCCTTTAATTACTTCTTGGTAAACAACATTCATCTTCCAACAGGAAGAAGTGGAGCACAACCATTTACACGATTTATTCGGCCTCTTCCCTAAAGAAAGCAATGGAGCCATCTTATACATTTGAAATTCCTTTTTTTAGTCACTGGCTTTCCATTAAAATGTACTTCTATATACACTATTTGTGAAGCGTTCAACGAAGCATGAATTACCATGAGGAGTTAAAAGCATATCAAAACGTGCACAAATGTGGGTAATCTATACAGAATACTTCACCCTCCAAATCTAGAGCATATACTGGCAAAAATTACTAAAGCTTAAGTAAGTTTAAAATCTTGTTTCAAAACACTGTCTTGCATCAGTTCTCAGAAGACCTGTAATAAGACCACACAAGTAATTATAGCAAGAGGTCAATGAATGCCAATTACAGATGAAAGCTTTGGCTTTCAAAGGATAAAGTGGTCCTCCAGAGATTGCTGCTTCCCTAAGGCATTTACTTTAGGGAAGGACACTACTATTAGGAAATACTCTGCGGGGTGGGGATGTAACTTAGTGGTAGGGCACATGCTTAGCATGTATGAGGCCCTGGGTTCAATTCCTAGCACTACATTATAAAAAATAAAAAAAAAAAGATTAACTTACAAGTACAGTATAGGCAGATATGTGCTTGATTTTATTTTATAATCTAGACAATATATTAGATGTAATGAATTCATTTTCCTTTTCAAATGAAAACCTGATAAAAAGCAACAGCAATAGTTACAAATGACGGTGATCAAATGAAATTGTGTGAAAAATAGCATTCAGTTCCATGTTGCTGAACACTTTCGTTTCTGCCACGTAATTCCTCTACTTCTGATCACTGACCAAATGCTTTCCTAAAACTCCGCTTCTGGCCTGTGTTTTGAGATCTGTTACTTTTATTGCCACCTCCTGATCTCTGTCCCCTGGAGTTTCTGCTTCCTCCCCGCTGTCCCCTGAAGCCTCTGCTTCCGTCTCGCTGTCCCCGGAAGCCACGGCCACCTTCCCGACCCCTGGGGCCTCGAAATCCTTCCCGTGGTCCTTCCAGCTCTGGCTGTTCTGTGGCTACAGCAAGTTGCCAGCGTCTTGAGTCATGCCATTTCTCCTGTAGAGAGAAGGTTTCGCTTTCAATGCATTTTGATTTTAATTAAATTTGAGTTTAAGCGACATGAAGAAACACATTTCTACTATTTCCTTAAACAACATATTTTATAACTCAAGTGCTTTAAAAGTTGCTGATTCAAAATAACCAGGAGATACGCTCATGATCCAATGCCAGTACCACAATTGACAAAATAGCCTCATTATGTTAGGTACAGTTGCATTTCCCACAGCAGTACTAAATATGTGCAGAATAAAAAGGAAAAAGAGTATGAAAATTTGAATTGTCAGCTGTTTTTTAGAAAAAGGATTATAACTGCTTGCTGTGTTCTATCCTATCATTCTGTATTTTCATAGTTTTAACATTTTATAAAATCCAAGAGAAAATACCTGTATTTCTGTAACTGCAGCAGTACGGACATCAAAACAAACGCCCTAGAAATCAAAGCAAATAGCAGTTAATCTGACCAACATACATTAAATGATACAGTAAAATATCAGCTATTATAGGGGAAAAACCCACCAGGTACTAACCTCAGATAACTTTAACCCAAGACCATGATATAGTAAAATATCAGCTATTATAGGAGAAAAACCCACCAGGCACTAACTTCAGATCACTTTAACCCAAGACCAATCAATACATTTTAACTCCCAAAAGCATAATAGCACAAAGTCAAGGAATATTTTTGAAGACTCGGAATGATTTGCAGCCTTCTGACTACTATACATATTCTTGTCCCAGTACTAACCCTCAAGGAGCTATCAACTACTTTTTTTTTGGTACCAGGCATTGAACTCACAACTTCGTGCTCGCAGGCAAGCCCTTATGCTGCTGGGCTAAATCCCCAGCACCCATCAACTACTTTTTAAAAACAGAGAGGAAAGGTTTATTTTGGACAAGGCTTCAGATACTGGGACAAGTTTCCCTTTAAGTCAGGAATCCAGAGTACCACCATATGGACCCCACTCTGGTAGTGAGGACAAGCTATTAGTTTTGTTTTACATCTGAGGGAAAGAGCCTGGCTGACTTGTCTAATTCACCCAGTTAACTGGAGAGGGTATTGATTTTCTGGTAAATATAACATGCAATTTTTGATACTAAGTATTTTCCTTTCCCTGTTGCCAGTAAAATTCCCCTGATTTATAAACCAGGCATACTGATGGATTCCACCATTTTCACGACCCTTCATTCACATATGAAGGGCTTAAGCGTATTACGTCAGGCATTCATTCCTTGGGGTACACAGACAACTAGACAGTAGTTTGCCCTGGAGTAGGCCACACTGCTCTGGAGGCTCTTAGCAAGCAAATGTGGGCTGGTAAAACTTGCCTGAATGAGTATGAAGCCTTAACAATTCTACATTACAGAAAAGGATGACTGATTGGAAGGACCAGAGAAGCTTCACAGTAAGATTTAAACTTGAGTCAGAAAGATTACTGTAGGGGGCTGGGGATTTAGCTCAGCGGCATAAGCGCGGTCACTGGTAAAAAAAAAAAAAAAAAGGTTACTGTAGAAGGCAAAATGCTACATATAGTAGGCTCACTCTGCACTCTGGATGAGAAAGCATGGCATATTTGGCTCAGCTGCAGGAAAGGGTGTTGGCAATGAGTAGAAGTTGGGACAGGCTTATCTTCAACTCACTGAAGACAGCTCACTGCCTGTCTGGAGCACACTGTTTATCTCCACAAGCAATTTCATGTTACCTTTGGGACAAACCTGATATCCCTTAGGAGTCCCTCAAAATCAAAATGATTTTTATAGTTTTAGTTGGGCATTATCTGCCCTTCTCATTCATTCTTCCACAAAGATATAATGAAGCTTCTCAGGTTTAGGAAGGAAAGACTTTAAGCCACTGAACCCATGGGAGGTCACGACGGGAACATATAGGCCTTACCAGCTTCCCTTTGAGGAAGACCATTCCCTTCACTTTGGAATCAATATCCTCACCCAGTTGCTCCTTAAGTTCTTTCCAAGCATAACTGATGTTTGGCATTTCAATTGAGCACCGCAAGATCATGGTCACAAAACCCTTATGGAAGAAAGAAGAATAAAATCAGTCTAAAAAACAAGCCTACAGTATAAACATCCTCACAACTCCATAGTATTTCTGAAACAGTTTTCTCTAGAGGCAAACAACACACACATTTAGCACATGTAAAACCAAGTAATTTTTATTAAGACTGATGGCTTTTTATTGATGTCAATATCCTGATTGTGACAGTTTTCTAAAATCTTATCATTGAGGGAAACTGGGCAGTGTACAAAGGGTTTTTATGTTATGTCTCTTTTCATTTTTGGTGGTGTTTTTGAGACAGGGTCTCACTATTCAATCCAGGCTGGCCTTGACCTTACTATATAGCCCAGGCTGGCATCAAACTCACAGCAGTCCTCTTGCTTTAGCCTCCCAAATGCTGAGATTCACAGGCATGTGTAGCTATGCCTTTCAACTACAAATCAATCTATAATTATCTCAATAAAAAATTCACCACTTCAATAATACAAAGGAAATAAAAGCATACATCTGTGGGGGATGAGGAGTCACTTTGAAGGCCCTGGCCCCCTTGGGACCTGCAGTAAACAATAGCCCCGGGTATGTGAGACAGAGGTGGGACAGGAATGCCTGTTCTCAGTGGGGATGTTCCCCCCCCAACCCATGCTGTGTGACTTGGCTTTGTTTTGCAGAGTCATGAGGAAGTGGCCACCATTGTGACACTAGGAACAAACATAATTAACAACATTCTTGGGCTAATGAAGTTCCTCCTGGGTTAGAGGGGCTAGAAGAACTGGTTTTGCTTGTTTGCTTAACTTAGATAGTTTAGATAAACATTGTAGTCTGTCACATTGTAGCTTGTCACAAAGAATGCTTTTTCACTAGTTAATCGTCTGTGCTCTGTGAGTTGATCCGGTTTACTATATAAGAATCCTGGGGGCTGGGGATTTAGCTCAGTGGCGTAAGCGCCTGCCTTGCAAGCAGGCAGTCGTAAGTTCGATCCCTGGTACCAATAAAAATGAAAAAGACAAAAAAAAAAAAAAGAATCCTGGAATAAAGACTTAGCGTGCAGTACAGTACAGTATAGTGCAGTTGCAATTGTCGTGTCTCTCTGTTTCTTTTCCTCGCGCTGCACCCCCGTGTCCCGATCTGGTGTGTATGGGCCTCTTCCCGGGGTTCAGAGTGCACTAGACACTCCTGACATACATCTTCTAAGGTTTCCATGATGGTAAAATGATGTAACATTTATGTGTATGCATGTTCAGTGTGCAACTCTGCAGTTTTAAAATACATTCAAAAGTTTGCAATCATTATGGTTTTCATGCAATTCCAATCAAAATTCCAATAGCATTATGTCATAGAATTAGAGAAAACCTAAAAGTTATCTGGAGCCAGAAGAGATACAGAATAGCAAAGGCAATTCTGGGCAACAAAGGCAAGGCAGGGTAACACAACATCTGACTTGAAATTATATTATAAAGTTAACTGTAATAAAAATAGCATGGTACTGGCAAAAAAATCCAGATCAACGGAACAGATCAGAACATGCAGAAACAACTCCAGGTACCCTAAGCCATGTTATCTTTGACAAAGATGCCAAACACATTCACTGGAAGACAGCCTCTTTAATATATAATGCTGGAAAAACTTGCTCTGCACATGCTGAAGTTTAAAATTGGACCCATATCTTTCACACGCACTAAACTAAAAAACACTGATGTAGGCAAAGACTTTATAGAACAAAACTCCAATTGCACAGGAACTATCACAAAGAATCAACAACTAGGATCTCAAAAGAGCTTTTGCACAAGAGAAATCACTGAACAAGAAAGTAGACAATCCACAATGTGAGAAAAAGTTTGATTACTCTCAAGAACGCAGGGAGCCACTGAAGCTGGGGATTGATCACATAAAACAAGGCCAGGCTTGAGAACACAGAGGGCCCAAAACAAGCTACATAAACAAGCTGTTCCAGCACCAAGAAGTCAAGGGACCCAGGCCAGCCAGGCAAACAAGTTGCTAGGAAGTGGGGTTAAAATTAACATTCTTTTTCAGGAATGTATGGATTATATAAATAAATGTGCTATAATGGTTGAGCAGTTCCTTCCCTCCCATCAGGAGGATAAGGCTTCCTCTACCTGACCCCAGCTTTATCTTTTATTTCTCTTTTCATCCTCTCATAATGCTTTGTCCCAAGAACCTCAAGAGTCAAATGGGTCATGGCATGAGATTATGCATACAAAGAACTAAAAAAAAAAAAAAGGGGGGGGGGCCCCGGAGATTTAGCTTAGAGGCATTAAGCGCTTGCCTTGCAAGTAGGGAGTCGTGAGTTCGATCCCCGGTACCGATAAAAAGGGAAAAGACCAAACAAAACAAAACAAAAAAGGCATCTGAGATGAATACATACTTCTCAGATGAAGAAATACAGTAAATACATGCAAAAATGTTCAATATCACCAGTCATTTGAGATGCAAATTAAAACAGAGATTGTGCCTCATCCTATAAAAAAAAAAAATCAACCAGTAACAAATGTTGAAAGGGCTGCAGGGGGAAAAAAAGGAACCCCTCTCCCAAAAAAACAAAAACAAAAAACAAACAAACAAAAAGAAACCCTTTTCCAGTGTTGGTGGGAGTATAGACTGGTGCAACCACTAGGAATATCTCAAAAAAGTAGGATTAGAGAGGTCCCATTCGACCCAACTAGTCCCTTCTGGGTATCTTCCCAGAAGAATTAAAAACATCGTACTATAGCAATATATGTGCACCCGTGTTTATAGCAGCACAATTTATAATAGACCTTAGAAACAAACCAAATGCCCATCAACCAAGGAATGGATAAAAAAGATGTGGTTTTCTTATTGGATCAAGTACTACTCAGCTATAAGGGAGGATAAACTTGAAACATTTTTAGAGAATGGATGCAACTAGAGACCATACTCAGAAGTGAAATAAACTAGACACACATATATAAACATTGTACTGCCTGTCTCCCTAGTGTGAGAAACTTGGAGTAAATAAGATCCAAAATACACAATAGATACTGTAAAATGGGAAGAAGCTTCAAAAGGAAAGAAAAACTGGGATGAGGGAATGGAGAAAAGAAGAAAAAAAATATATACATAGAAAAAAATATGCCAGGTTGTGACTTCAATCCTCGGTGCAAAAAACAAAACAAAAACAAGGTTATGCTAAGATTTATGTTAGTATTGTTTGGACAATTAAATGCTGCTACCTTGTACTCTTAATAACTAAAGATAACAATACACAATGGATTAACTAGTATTACCCTCTTTTATCTTGTTTTGAAAATTTGGGTTTTTAAATTTAAAAAAAACTTTGCAACTATCTTGAATTGTAGAATACTCATCTCCACAAACAGCCTAGGGTGTATCCACCTGCAGTCCCTGCCATCCAATCCCTTTTGTCTCTATGGATTTTAAGTTAGAAAACAGTAAAATACAATTAGCACCTTCTTGAGAAAATATAAACTGTGAAGTTTAAATGAATCCTTGCAGCTCAAACCCCAAATTATGAAGTATAGAAGCTTACCGCCTCTGAGTTGATCAAAGAGCGCTGGTCTACTGATGTAGCACCTGAAATGTGGGCCAGCGCAGCTGCCAGGGCCTCCACAGCTCCCTTTTCCTCTATCAGCTTCTCAGCTGACTGTTTGAAGTGGCTAATGGCAGTAGGAGGCACAGAATCCAAAAGCCTGGGTTTGACAGTATATTTGTTAAGAAAAAGGTCAGTAGACAACACCACAGCATCACATGTAATATGTAAGAAGTACCAATAATTTTAAACTGTGCATTAATATGGTCTCATTATAAGCAGAAAAATGAAAACACAATAGAATGCCACACTGCCATTAAAATCAGTGATACAATTATGTGTGGTGGGGCTTGTCTATAATCCTGGTTTTCAGAAACCAACAAGCAAAAGTAATGTCAAACTTCGTAATCCCAGCACTCTGACAAGCTACACCAGGATTTCAAGTTTCAGCCCACACTGGGCAACTTATGGATATCCTATCATTCATTTTCTCAATGATAAATTTTTAAAAAAATTTTAAAAAGGGTTGGGAAAGACCCCTAGGGCTCAATCCCCATCCTGCAAAAATAAGTAAATAGAATAATGTCAATTTTTGTTTTATTTATTTATTTTTTTTCACATGTCTTTTTTTTTTTTCTTTTTTGTCTTTTTCCTTTTTATCGGTACCAGGGATCGAACTCACGACTGCCTGCTTGCAAGGCAGGCGCTTATGCCGCTGAGCTAAATCCCCAGCCCCTTTATTTATTTATTTTTTGAGGCACAGTCTTACTATATAATCCAGGATGGCCTCGAACTCATGACAATCTTTTTGCCTCAGCTTCCCAAATGTTCGGGTTATACACATGCACCAAGACTCCTTGCTTTTGTTTTTATAAGCATATTACTTTAGAGTCAGAACATAACTTCAGTTACATCTTGAAATAAAATATACTTCAAATCAGGTTTAACACAATAGGAGCTTTTTAAATGATATTAGCAAATTCAAAAGTACTCTTACCACTGAGCTACATTCCCAGTCCTCTTTACTTTTATCTTAAGACAGGTCCCACTAAACTGTCTATGCTGGTCTCAACTTTGATCCTTTTGCCTCAACTTCCCTCAGTGCTGGGATTACAGGTACGCAGGCTGGTGTCAAGACAAGAATTTTTATGAAACTATGTATTTAATTAGGAGGTACTATTATCTTGGTAGTAATCACACCTCACTGATGAGAGATCATACTCTCTGGTGACAGGGCTATCACTTAAGAGACTATCTCCATAATCTACCCACATTTTGTCTTTTTTCCTTCCTAGCCATTGAGTCCCAAGTACCTCCCAAACTGGTACCCTTGGAGTCTTATTTGTAAGACTCTTCAAAGTATAAGGGAGTAGCTAGGAGTGGTGGCACTGCCAGTAATTCCACCACTCAAGAGGCTGAGGCAGAAAGATTACCACAAGTTTGAGGCCAGCCTGGGCTACACAGTGTGTTCAAGGCCAGTCCAAGCTATATAACAATACCTTAATCAAAAAAACAAAGTAAAACAAAGCTATAAATATAGAACAACTTTATATAGTACCAGAACTTCAAAGCTGAAACACCATCAAAAGCATGGGGGAATGGATATTAGCAAAATATATGCACTAAACCCCCAAATATGGAACTAGTGAGGATGGGGCAAGGTGGTAATGGGGAGTTATTGTGATAAAATGAACCCATTCACCTGTACAACCACTTTTGAAGAAAGAAAAAGAAAAAGCCGTGTTGTGCTATTTCCCCAGACAGCCTGCCCCATGTTTCTCAGGGTGAACTGTTTGTTTCCTTTATTTGCCCCAAGTTTACTCTACAGAGCCAGTTTCTCTTGCCCTTTGTTTTTACTTTTTTTCTTCCCATACCTGCCCTCCCGTTTTTACTTTTCCAATAAATGTCACTATTTAAAAACAAATTTCATTTGCAGTTTTACCAAGCTATTATAAACATTCAAAATTTCCTTTCATTAGACTCCCTCTATTTTTAAAATTTTCAATAGACACATTTACAGACCAGGTAATTCTACCCCCTGTATTGGGAACTAATCTAGAGCCCCACTGAGCTATCCACAGCCTTTTATTTTTTGAGGCAGGGCCTCGTAACTTGCACAAAGGCAAGTTTCAAACTCACTGTCTTAGCCTCCAAGAGTGCTGCGATGATAATCATGCACTGCCATCCTTGGTTCCAAATAATTCTTGTGTATTCTGAGTTCAGTCAACTGGCCTGAGGACAACTACACCCATAAATTTCAAGCTCATGATTATTCGTGCTTTCTTCCCTCTTTTCTTTCCTGAATAACCCTTTTAGATATGGCTCATGGGAGCATTTATCCTCCTATATTTTGCCTGTTGCTCTCTAAGGCAAGAGGCGACTGATGCTTGTGGTCAAGTCCAGTTCTCTTTTAATGCAAGTATCCTGTCATCACAAAGGTTCTCTGAAGCCTTTTAAACATTAGTAGTTGACATATCTATGATAGTAAATGTGAAAAGCACTCTAAGAATGATTCTCACCCTCAGATACTCCTTAGCAGGGGATATAGCCCATCACAAGGAGGTGGATGGAAAATGGTTTTTTGTTTCTATAACCTCTAAGAGTATGCTGCACAGTGGCAACAACAGTCAGGGATCCAAACCAGCTAAAATCCTCCAGTATGCAGGACCACCCGACAAAACAATGCTCTTGCTTCTAAATCCTGTACCACCTACACTGACGGTTAACCAACTCCTCACCATCTAGCTGTCTATTATAACTTGAAAGAAATAATCAAGCCTTGTATGGTACCACAAGCCTATAACCCCAAGACCCTAAGTTCAAGGTCAGCCAGAATTAACCTAGTGAGACACTGGCTCAAAATATAACTTTTAAAAAGGGGCAGGGAGGGGCTGGGGATTTAGTTTAGCGGCATAAGTGCCTGCCTTGCAAGTGTGTGGTTGTGAGTTCAATCCCCGGTATCAATAAAAAAGAAAAAGACCAAAAAGGGGGGAGGGGTGGCGGCGGATGGGAGCTGGAGATAGTGGCTCATGGCTATAATCTCAGTAATCTGGAAGCTGAGTCAAAAGGATTACAAGTTCAAGGCCAGCCTGAACTATAGCAAAACCCTGCTTCCTTTACAAACAATGAAGTAAATACAAGGCTGGAATTATAGCACACATGAGGCCCTTGGTTCAATCCCCAGTACCACAAATAAATAAATAATAAATAAATCGATAGTTCAGTTTTTATTCTCCCATGCAGGGAATTATCTGAAAGAGAAATCTGTGATCATTCAATCATTGGATGGGAAGTACTGACACATCTGAGATACCATTCTTTAAATTTCTAATGTAGGGGCCAGGGACATAGCTCTGGGGTACAAGTGCTGGCCTGGCAAGCATAAGGTTGTGAGTTCAATTCCTAGTACCCAAACAAACACAAAAACAAAAAAAGTCTAACATATACTAAGCTGGACAAAGATAAGGCCATACTTGATCAAATTCTACTTAGACAGCCTGAGTGTTTTTATAAGCAGATTCTCAACTGTTAGAAATATTAACTATAGAACATTAACTCTGATCCCTAGCAGTTTCAAAGAAAAGGGCCAGGTCTGTACTGTGATAGCACACAGCACAACCACCGACACAGACCTTAGTGACAGTGGGGAACATACCTGATAGCATCTTTGCTAGAAGCTTTTATTATTTCTGTTGGAGAAGGGACTCCTATTCGTTTAAATTTAATTCCCTATAAGAAAACCCACAAAGTAATAGCCATTAGTCATTTCCATGAAGATTAGTTAAGTTCTTAATAATTTTGTAACTATGAAACACTATGTTACATTACAAATAAACTGTTACATTAAAAAAGCTCTTATTTTTGGTTTTTTATCATCAAGTTTACTGGTACAGTTTAGATATACAAAATGATCACATTCACCATGTAGAACCCATATAAGATATACCCTGATTCTTATTTTTTTATTAAATAAGCTTTTAAGTTTTAGATGTACATATAAACTGTACAGACAGTACAGAGTTCCTATATAGCTTGCACCAGATTTCAGTTAATAACACTCCACGGCACTGAGAGGCACACTTACTAAAACTAAGAAATCAGTACAGTTATGCTTAGATGGCACTCGTGACTTTTGAGGGACAACTGATCACCTTGTCCTGGTAATGCTCCCTGGGCTGTGAACTGTGAAGTCTTTACCACTCACCGCACTCTGTAAATCACTAAGGGCAGCCCACTTCAGGGCAACTGCGAGGTCAGGCTTCACCTACTAGGAAACGAAGCATCTCCTTACATTAAATTCTGTAAGGAAAATTAACACTCTCCCTTCCCTTATCCTTTTGGTTTCAAAGCAATCCCCAAAACTCCTACTCTGATTAAATATTTTTGGTATGTCCATGTTATCTTAAAATCACTTTCCACTTTGATTAAAAAATAAACTCTTATAAAATACAAAGTTATAAAAAACATACATATCTAATAAGCTTTCAGTCATGGCCAAATGGTAGAAATCAAAAAACTTACAAGAAATAAAACTTAAATAAAGAAACCAAAGACTGACTTTAGAACACAACTGAAGGATAACAGGAAAATTATTTTACCGCTCTCTGCTCCACTTGTGCTAACTGATATTCTTCCTTGTGCTGATAAAAACAGATGCAAACCCCTGTCCTTCCAGCTCTGCCCGTCCGCCCAGAACGATGAATGTAGGACTCTACATCCTATCAAAGCAAAATGTGAGTGGTACAGTAAGGAGGAGCACGCCTTAGCAGTCCAGAAAACCCAGTCAGAAAAGACCAACAGAGGGAGGGAGAAGGACACTAACACTCAAAGCAAATCTGCACTCAGCACCGTTTCTAGATAGCATGTACCCAACAGAGGCAGGTATATAATTCAACTTCAAATAGCCATAATAAGTTTTAATGAAAGGATTAAATTAATTCATTTTAACAGTATATATAGGGCGGAGGATACAGCACAGTGGCACAGCACCTGTCTGACAAGCACGAGGTCCTGAGAGCGATTCCCAGTACCAAAAAAAAAAAATACACTAAAACCCCTCAAATATTTAACTATATATACACCTAAAACCTTATCAATTCAATATGCTACCTATAGAAATATAAGTTACCAACAAGTATTTTTTCCCCTGGTTAAGACAAAAGTCTCACTGGCTTAAAACTTGAAATCCTCCTGCTTCAGCCTCCTGTGATGAGATTATAGGCATGTGCTACCATGCCTGGCTCCCAATTAAGATCCAGCTTTCAACTAAGATATTTTTATATCTTTTTTCATAAATCTTCAAAGGCCAGAGACCATAGTAAAATAATACCCCAAAAGACCCACTTTAAAAAATGAGTGTACATTTTACACTTAAAACACATGCCCATTAGACTATCCACATCTCAAAAGTGTTCAACAGCTACATGTGGCAGATGGTTACCATATTGGATAAGACAAATCTACAGGCTCATGAGACAATGTCACATACTTCTGCAATAGACTTCTTAAGCTTTCCTAGCATGAATAAGACACTGAGTTTAATAAAAGTTAAAAAGACGAATTCATCCCAGTACTGTAAGCAGTGGGAGGAAAGCAGTACTCAAAATTGAACCCAGGGAAGCACTAAGCTATATCCTCGGTGCCTTTTAAAGACTTTTAAAGGGGCTGGGGATTTAGCTCAGTGGCATAAGCGCCTGCCTTGCAAGCAGGCAGTCCTGAGTTCGATCCCTGGTACTGATAAAAATGAAAGACAATAAACAAACAAATAAATATAAAGACTTTTAAAATTGAGATAGGGTCTAAGTTGTCTGCGATGGTCTGAACTTTCCTTCTTGCTACTGGGGAATTGAACTCAGGACCTTACACTCACCAGGTTGGTGCCTATGCCACTGAGCCCTGGCTGGCCTGCAACTTTCGATCCACCTGCCTCAGTCTCCTGAATGGCTGGGATTAGTCACATGTCACCCATATCCAGTTTGGAAGCAACCTTTAATTTGAGGGATTTGGGAAAAGCCACACTGGTACTGCTGGGAACAGACTTGCTTAGACTGACTTTTATTTATATAACCACCATCTACATCAGGTAAACTGCTTAGGATCCTCCCCAAAAGGTTCCATAATCCACAAATCTCAACAATTAGAATCACAGAAGTTGTTGAGTCCAGGCTTCTTCTCTCTTCTAGTCTCTATTAGCTCATAACATCTGCATATCCTACATTCACCCCCAATCTAAGTTCCACCAACTTCAATTACCCTTACATGCCAGCACTTAAGAAATTGCTACTACTAACCACATGTAAATAAGCATAACAACTTTGCTTTAATATCCAAAAGCAACAAAATAAAATCTAGGTATAAAATACGTACCTTTGGCGGACAGCTTTGCACAACCAAATCAACCTCAGGGATATCTAATCCACGTGCAGCAACGTTGGTTGCCACCATAACTCCAAAATCACCATTTCTGAAACCTTTCAGGGTGATTTCCCTTTGCTTCTGTGGAATGTCTCCATGTAATGACTGGGCATCCTACCAAAGAAATTAATTGGCCTAAGAATACCAGATCCAACAATATATGCTGAATTAGTCCTAAAAAAGACATTCATATTTCAGTGACACTCCTGCCAAGAATATTACAAAAGGGGAAGATTAAACATATACTTTCTTACATGGACAAATATTATTTCTAAATCCTCAGCCATTAAATCTAATGATACTAAAGTTGGAAACACCACACAAAAGTAGCTAAACCTAAATGATCAGTGCTTCACCATCCTTTCCTATCTGTAAGGTAAGGCTGATGGATTAAGTAAACACTAACATGCATACTTAGAAACAAGACTCCTTTCACTTCTAACCTAAAACAAACTGGAAGTTACAGAATGAATGAAAAACAGATTCAGCAGACATACTGAAGGTGACAACAGTCTGTTGATGCCCCAGCTTCTCAGGAATAAGAAGGACCCACCTGCTTTATTGATGCATTCTGTGACAGCTCCTGGGCTTCTTTCTTGGTTTCACAGAAGACAATAGTGCGCCCTTGATGGCCACTATATACTCGGATCACATCTCCAATAACTGCTGCTCTCTGTGTCCAGTGGCACTTGATAGCCAGGTGCTTTTGAGAAGAAACACCACCTATTAGTAACAGCTTTCTAGAACCTAAAAAAACCTGCTCAATTCTAACAGCCAAAAAAAATTTCTAATAATCTATGTCTTGGTACAAGAAAAAACAAAACAAAACAAAACAAAAAACTGCTGAAGTCTGATAGAGCAGACTGCTGCTACCTCAACAGAACACAGCTATGATACCTTTGTTGTCGAATGGCATAATGCTCAAACTTTCCACTACTTGAACAGCAAAGATCAATTAGGAAAAAAAAAAAAAAATCCACTTGGTGGAACTCTGCTCAATAGTTGAACGAAAAATCTGACTTTGAAAAAAAACCTGTATGGGCTGACAGTCACTCATCGTATCTCACTGTGGACACAAAGGGATGATCCTCAGTCTAAGCACCACTCTCATCCAGACGACAGATAGAGCTTCAACTAGGTGTGTTAAAACAGTTGTTGTCATTGTGCTTTTTATTTTTTGGCACTTTGTGTAAAATATCATAACCGTGGTACCACTTAGTGATATCAGCAGCAAAGCTAAGAGGAAAACTGTGAGAACCATGACAGAGTTAAAGAAAACATTTCAAAATTTGCTAAAGCCTTGGAAAAATAAATATATAATTTTTAGGTTACAAAACTAATTAATTGGGCTGGGACTGTATCTCAGCACCAGATCCTGCATTTGATTCCCAGTACCAAAAACAAAAACAAAACTCAAAAAACAAACAAACCAATTAATTGGTTTTCCATTATTTCTTATGGGAAAATGTTTAGTTCTTGAACTTTTTGGTGTTCAAATACAACTTTGACAAGCATTGAGTTCAACAACTAAAGTATTACTGTAAATAAACCACTAATGTAAAAAGCAGTATGATCGGAACAGAGCTCCAGAGATCCGGCCATGGAGGGACTCAGGCAGCTTATTCATCCGCCCTCTTGGTAAGCACCTGCAGCTTGGGCCTGGAGACTACCAATACCTGTGAGCCTACTGCCATGCAAGCTGAAAATCAAGCACCCTTCTCCCACTTGCCCCCTTCCCCTTTAGTTACTGGGGATAGATGTTTCAACATCTCTTGGGAGGACAACCATATGCAGTATAGCAAATATGGGGGATTTCCTTCTATCTTCTGTTTGAAGGCATAGGTTGTTTTCACTGTTTTGTTATGTTTCTTTTGTTCTATTCAGTATTCTCAATTGGTTTTACAATGTTCTATTTTTGGTTTGATTTTACAATATGTAATTGACTGGAAAGATATTGTTAAGTTAAAGATATATACCATAGTACTTATTACTACTATCCCAGTATCTTACTGTGAAATCCTGTACCAATTTCATTGCATTGTCTTGATTGGCTTTGTTCTGTAATGTGCTATTGCATTTTTACTACTTTCAAAATTAAAAAAAAAATACATGTTAAGACTCATACATGTGTAGAATCTATAAACAGATCTTATGACAACTGATGAAATGAATAGATACTGTGAAGAAAAGCAGACACTAAAATAGCCAGTGCTGATCCTGCAGTGTCATAATGTGAAACCCAGCAATAGTGTTATTCTTTGTGATATTAACCTGCTTGGGTTTATTCAAAGTCAACATAATTGAAGATATGGGTAACTGCATATATGTTTAAGTGTATAGGATTGATAACCATATTTCTAAGTTTTTGTTGGATAGTTGAACAGAACTTGTTGCAGTCTCATTGTTTGAACCCCCACTTTATATGCTCCACTTTAGTATCTCGAATAACTATTTGTAAGAAGACAATCTGTAATCAACTAGTGATTTACCATTTTTCTTTGAAATTATGTATTATTTCTCCCCATTTTGTTTTTTTTAAGTCTTTGTTTAAATTCAGTTTTAAAAAGAAGACACTACAGTACCCAGTGCTGATCAGAGTGTCATGATGTGAAATCCAGCAAAACTATTATTCTTTGTTCAGAGTAATTTTAACCTGTTTTAGTTTGTTTAATCTAAACATAAATGAAGATATGGATAACTGCATGAATGTTTAAGTGTATAGGATTGACAACCATGTTACTAAGTTTTTGTTGGACAGTTGATTAGAATATTTGCAGTCTGTTTGAATTTCCACTTTACATGTTCCATTTTTGTACCTTGAACAACTATTTGTAAAACGACAACATCAACTAGTGATTTCTTACTTTTTTCTCTGAACGTACGTACTATTTCTACCTATTTTGTTTTGTTTACTCTTTCTTTAAATAAAAATTAAAAAAAAAAAGCAGTATGATCTGTCCCCCTGCAAATCCCCCTTTATCCAAAGAGCATCAGGCTTAATTTTCTGACTTAACAGGAAATGAAATGCCATTCTCCACAGTCCTATAGGAAATCAAGTACAGTACATGAAAAGTTTCTCTATATTCCACTCCTTCATCCACATAAAAGTGTAATCTGTAATAGTTATGTACAGGTGTACTCCTTAGGTGAAATGAATTCATCTAGGTACCAGAACCCAAGATGAAAATACACATAAGGACAGAACCAAGAAGTCAGCCAACTTTCCTTTGAGCCAACTGACACACTCAGGCTGGGAGACAAGAAGAACAACCCCCACCCCAGCCTGTGTAGGCAAACCAGCTGATTTGGAGGAACACAGGCTGGGATGATAGCAACTGAGGCACAAAATCAACTTAATGCTTATACTGACTGACTGACTTGCAGACCTGGGGCTGGCAGTCTGAGCACCTGTGCAGAGTATAACAATATGCAATAGCAACTAAGGGGGATTACCTTTTGTCTTGTTTTCGAAAAATTTTTTTAAACCAGAAATCAAACTCATGACCTCACGATTGCTAAGCAGGTGCCATGCCACTGAGCTATTTATTTCCCTAGTCTGAAATCCAATATTCTTCTGTTTTGTCTCAATTTTATTACTTTAAAAAAAAAAAAATAGCCATAAGAGAAGGCATTAAATTTCCCTGGTGCCCAATACTATGTTTCAATTCTAAGTGTAACTTCTTTGTTTATGTAATTCAGGCTTATTTAGGTTACAAATAATTCTGAAATCAGCCTACCAGAAAACATACTGCTGGGCATGGCACTGCATGCCTGTAATCCCAGCACTTGGGAGGCTTAGGCAGGAGGATCCCAGTGAGTCTGAGGCCAGCTTCAAATGCACAATAAGACTCTAAAACCATTCTCAAAAACATTAAGAAAGAAAAAAAGAAGAGACACTATTGCAATTAAATAGAAATATTTAATTGGCTTTTCATATGGATTTAGTACTGTGTTTAATCTGGAAGAACTTGGATTTCCTGAGTCTTAAAACAGACTTAGACAGGAAACAAATATTAACAAATTTTATGCTAGCCCAGGCAATTAAATGAATCACTTACCTCTACAGTTATTGCTGTTTTCTGAGTCTTTTTACCAATTAGGTCCACCTGTTCATATGTAGACTTCATGTACTTCTTGGCAACATTAAATACCCAACTTGGGCAAGTTGCAGAAAAAAGCAATGTTTGAGGATTGTCTTCAGAATCTTTAGGGGGTAAAAAAGTCAGCATAAATAATTCTGACAAGCCTACAAGGTACCCCATCTCACCCAGTGTTTCCAGGATTTACCAAAATTCATCATTAACCACAAGAGGCCAATACACATGAGTCTCAATGGGCAAAGAAACCGAAATAATTTCTCAAGAACCACTGAAAACAGGGTGCAATGGCACACATCTGTAACCATAACTGGGCAAATTTAAGCCCAGACTAGCCAATTTAGCAAATTAAAAAACGGCCGGAAATGTGGCCCATGGGTTCAATCTCCAGGACCACATACTAAAAGGAATCCCTAAAATAGTAAAAGCACCTTAAGCTTATTTTAAGTCTAGTAAGCAACCAGTAAAGCAACCAACTTATAACAATTCAGCAACATATGAGAAGCACAAACCATTACCATTTTTCTAGGGTGAGTACACACCTGGCAACTGCAGGCTCAGCAAGTGCTCTACTACTGAGCCATATCCCTAGCTGCTATTTACAACTTTTAACTAAGTAATTCTATTTCTGGAAATCTAAAGAACCCATTCTACATATCGAGATGTGAAGAAATCTACTTCCATAAATGTGACTATAAGCAGATTTATGTGAAATAAAAAAACAAAAACAAATGGTCATTGTTACCTTTCAGAGTATTATGTTAAATATTAACCTGTATAGCTACCATTATAATTAGCACATATACTTGAAACATTGGGAATGCACTAAAATGAAAATAAAACAAGCTAACAGAATATATAATTTTCCCTTTACTTTCCCAGGTTTCCCCCACTATAGTCAGGTGCTAAATCATGACTTCTAAAAAATTTGCCAGGTTTTTCTAAATAAAATTAAGCCCCCTTCCAATTTCCTAAGGCTTCCTTTTTCACCTAGAAAACGACTTCATCACCACCCTCACTTTGGTCCCTTCTATCAATTCCTTGATTTGGGTGTTTACCTTTCTTGTATGCCACACATAATATCTCTTCTACTTGATCAGCAAAACCCATATCCAACATCTGGTCAACTTCATCCAGGACTACATGCTTCAGTTTGGAGAGATCCAGCTTGCCATTCTGCAAGTGGTCTTTAATACGACCAGGAGTCCCAACCAGGATATCAATCCCATTCCGCATTCGTTCAACTGTAAAGAAAACCAATAAAATGATTTTACACTAATTCCCTTCACCAACCTAGGGTGAAATAACCTGCATGTATTTTCACTTAAAATATTTATTAAATAATGACAAAGTGGGGCTGGGGATTTAGCTCAGCGGCATAAGCACCTGCCTTGCAAGCAGGCGGTCATGAGTTCAATCCCTGGTACCGATAAAAAGTTAAAAAAAAATAATAAAAAAAAGTATTAAAAAAATAGTGACAAAGTTATATGCTAAGAAACAAAGATGCTAAAAGTGTTCCTAATCTAGCGGGCAAAACATGTAAATGACAGTCCAGTGTATTAAGTAACATGATAGGAAAATGAGGGATGATAGCTTCAACAAACAAGATGCTCTTGACTGGTAGAAAAATACCAAAGTTTCAAAGTGAAAATAAGAATCCTAAATGGGAACTTTCTATATATAAGGTACAGGAAGGAATGTGGGAGACAACTTGAGTGATTTCCCTTGAATGCAGAACAATTACTGTAACTTTGATTATATCGAGACTTATTTCCTCATACTGTATGTACAGAGCTGACTATAGTTATTTCCTTCTCTCTTCAACTGGCCCTAAGCATTGCAAGTAAGGCCAGCCAGGTACTGGTATGCAATCTCTAAAGCCACAAGACAGTGTCCTGATTTCTTGCATAGTGTTCTCTCTAAAATATAAGCACAGCAGGATGTTAGAGACATCAGCTCCAAGAATGTCAACTGGGTATAAGCCTCATGTTTACATAACAGAAACTAAAGCAACAGCCATCCTAAGTGAAATATGCAAATTGATCTTTCTGCATATCCTTATCTCTGCATTTTGCAGAAATGCTTTTCTCTCTACCTGGCTAGCCAGCTCAAGTTACTCATGTAGTTCCCACCATCCTCACTATCACTCATCCTCAAGCCACCCTATTCTTCACAAGATAATAAATTCTAGGAGGGGCCTAGCATCAAGGTCTTTGTCCGCGCATTCTCACAGGGATTTGATTTAGGATCACCTGGCTGCCCTTAACTTGGAGTACGTCATGGTGTTTTTACTCTCACTGTGGGTTGCATTGGAGGTGGTAGATTGGAATTAACTTGCTGGAATTCCAGTAACGTCTTACAATACATACTTGGATAACTGTATTCAATATTTGGGATTACAATAAAAGATCAGCAGACTAGGACAAATATTTTAACAAGGTATAAAAACAATGGGAAAATACAGGTTTTCAATGTAACTGGAATGAAATCATAATAATGCAACTTTTTTGAGCTGCTATCATAGCCCAGAGACCATATTAGGCACTTTATGTATATTATCCAATGCAATTCTCACAACACCCCTGCAGGGTGTATTCAGTAGCCTTCTTTTATAGATAAGAAAATTAAAACAATAAATAAACAAGTTGGGTATAAAGTCTCAGAACTACTTAGTGAGCACAGTTTAGATTCAAACCCAAGCTTTTGCATAAAGACCAAGGTTCATTTCACCAAAGGTGGAAAGAAATAAACACAAGTTTTGCAGTCCAATGCTGAGACTTTTTAATACCTTCATGCTTTTCATAATCACTCTGCACAGCACAGCTGCAGGGTCCTGACTGGAAGGTAATAATAGGGGGAGGCTTGCAACAGTAGGCTGTTGGCCTTCCGGTAAACAGAAAGGCTACCTGCAGCAAAAAGTATGCAAAGAGAGAGAGATGGAGAGACACAGCGTAACTTTGGATTCTGACTTCCTTGTCCGCAGAGTTCTACTATGGCAATCTTTAGATAAATACTGACAGAAAACACAGAAGTTCTAAGAATCAGATAGCAGATTTAGCCAGCATCACTCAGGACCAAGCGCTTTTTAAACAATAATGGCAGAAGAGAAACACCATGAAGTACTGGACAGGTAAGTAAGACAGATGTCAAGGAATTCAATCATACCAATCGAGGCTAGGGGTTTAGGGGCTGGGCATTTTAGCTCAGCGGCATAAGTGCCTGCCTTGGAAGCAGGCAGTCGTGAGTTCGATCCCCGGTACCGATAAAAAAGAAAAAGACAAAAAAAAAAAAAAAAAGGCTAGGGGTTTAATTTAGCTCATCAGTACAACAGCTACCTGGCAAGTGCAAGGTCCTGAGTTCGATTTCTAGTACCAAAAAAAAAAAAAATCACACTGCGCAAAACCACAGATGCCATTTTTCTTCTCCTACTTTTACATTTACTTACTTTGACCTCCATACGGTGTTCCACCATAAAAACAAGCCACTGCCAGCTTCTTTGTGATGTCACTGAAGTCTCTGCTTACTTGATGTGCCAACTCTCTTGTAGGCGCAAGGACAAGTACCTAGAAGAGAAAAACTCACCTGAATTCCAAGTTATTATACAGTATTTATTTCTTAAATATGTTGAAATTGACCTGAAAATTCAACTCATTCTGAAATATATCTGTGTATTTGTAAGACTCATTAAGTATAATAGAGTTCCTGATAAATATATTCAGAAGAAAAGCTTGAAATCATAACAATCAGAAAAGAAATACCCAAATGTGTGGTGCTCAAGGAAGGCTCCATGGAGCTACCCAGAGGAACTGCAGGTTTCAAGGAGCACCATTTTCAGGAAAACAGATACCTGAGCAAACACCTATACGATGACAACATAACTAGTATTTGTGCTTGGACCCTGGTTTACACACATTTCTCACAATAATCTTCTGAAGTAGATTATTTTTTGCACACATTATTTTATGAGGTCAGAACATACATGTTATCCCAACAATATAAAGAGAAAATACGTAAATTACTGAGACTTCCTTACCTAGAATTACAAAACTAAGTGTATGTATGTATACATGTAAGTATTTAAATTCTTTAATTTCCATTCCATCCTTTGTCTAAATTTTAATACCTGCCTTCCTTAATCTTCTTTTGAAAGGCACCACCCTGTCACTCAAGCCAAATGTTCTTTCTTCTTTACCAGCCCCCTGCCATGAGCTGTTACCAAGGTATCTTGTATTTCCCTGAAATTAACCTCTTTTTCATTTGAGTTTCTCTTTGCAATTCCATTTCTTCTTAAGTATGGCATGTGAGATTTTAATCGCTCTGACAAGGTTTTATCCTGTTGCGGTGGTAGCTTACCTGCTACATCAGGACAATTAGTCTCGACTTCATATTCCAGCCTATACTGAGTATAATCCAGATCTCAGTCAATTTTGTGGAACATTAGTTAAAGTTTACATTGCCAGGTGTGGTGGCACGTAAGTATAATCCCAGTCCTTGGGAGACGGAGGCAGGAATATCCTTATCAGTTCTAGCCCAGCCTGGGATAAACAGTGAGTGTCTCAAAAAATAAATAAATAAATAAAAAGTTTACCAGCCTCTGAAGTTCTGAAGCACATTATCTGAGTAAAGCCAAAGGCTACTTAGAGGTGGACCCTGGATTTAAATTCAGGCAGCCAGGCTCCAAAACCTCTAGTCAAGAGAGCTCTTCTACTCAAAATAAGTTTGCTTTTGTAGACGAAAATTGCCAAAAATATTTAACCAAACCTGTGAGTCCCAGGCAGACCCAAGAATCTGGAGGGAATATGATGAACACTAATACCACAGTGGATTACAAACATGGGACAGATTACAATACTTTGATTTCAGATAATGTTTCACAATAAATATAATGGGAACTTTAAAGGGAACTCAAATAGTAGGACATATAAAACAGGCTCCGAACGAACATGCTTTCTCTGTGCTAATTTGGAGCCCGCCCTCTGTTTAAGATAAGTTACCTGGGGGGCACGACCTCTCTTCTTGTCTTGCAGTTGTCCCTGAAGTTTCTCTATCAAAGGGATAGCAAAGGAGAATGTCTTCCCTGTGCCTGTCCGCGCCTGTGCAATTAAATCTTTTCCACTATAGACATGGTGAAAGGTCTTTGCTTGTATAGGAAACAAGAAGTTCACCCCACGAGCTGTGAAGAAATCAATCATGTTACTGTAAATTGGAGGGGAGTGGGGGTGGGAATCAAACCTGGGGGCTCCTGCACACTAAGCATACAACCTAAAAACAAAATAAAGTACAACCTGCCACTAAACTCTGCCCCCAATTCTAAATGCAATTCCTGAAATACCAGCATGTCCAAAATCTGAAGCACAAACATGTTTGTGTTCAGTAGAATATAGGAATTCTACCTCTTCATCAACATCTACAAAGTTAGACTTAAATATATTCTGGGGGAATCTATCTGACTGAAAAACATTTTACTTTAAAGTGCTATACTATATTAAATGTTTATTATCTCAAAAAATTAAGTTACTTATCCTAAAATTTCAGGACAGCATGAACCATAAAACCTGCTGCTTTGCAATCCAAACTACTGTGCACTTGATTGAGAAAATACATAGTGGACCATCCTGGAGTATCACAGCTGATCCACACACAGGGCTGCTGGGTTCTGAATCAGCCTGGCATCACTAATCCAGAGGTGACTCATGTACAAGAAAGCATTAACAGGTTAGTATCATCAGTACTATCAAGATAGAATCACATCTCAAAAGGCAAAATCAATTTTAATCTTGAGGCAGCTAAGATTATCACTATCACAGTCCCATTCTGAATATGTTGGCTAATTCATTACACAGTTGCATATATGGTTCTACCATAAGAATTTGCCATGGTTAAAAAAAAAGTGCCCTGGCTTATCTGAACCAAAAATGCTAAAATGCTTCCCAACAGTATGTCCTCTAACATTATATAATATACCTAAGAATATTACCTTTGAGAAGTTTAACAGTTTCTTCAGATATGGGAAAATTAGAGAAAGCGCCTTCTTTTTGTTCCACAGGTATTTCCTATCAAGGACCACAGTAAAAATCATTAACAGACACAGAATAAAGGCCTTATTAGAAAGAAACTACCTATTCTAAAACAACTCTTTTTTTAACACATAAGTTTAAAATCAACTAAAGACACAGAACTTTGGTACAGGTCAAGATCTAAAAAAGGAAAATATCATAGTTTATAACCATTTCAATTAATTACCCTATGACCATCTCAAACCAAAAATATGGTTGAAAAGTAATGTTGTTTTCTATAGCAACATCTTGCATATAGATCAACACAAAACAAAGAATAGTGCCAGGAATAGTGGCACACACCTGTAATCCCAGCACATGGGATGCTAAGGCAGGAGGATCAGTGAATTCAAGGTTACCCTGGGCTACATAAGGGAGTTTAATGCCAGCCTGCACTACATAGCAGGACCCTATTAAAAAAAAAAAAAAAAAAAAAAAAAAAAAAAAAAGAAAGGAAGACAAACAGAAGAAAACAAGGAAAAAATGTCCATGAAATTCATCACTGTGGCATTATTCAACAGTAAAAAGTACTAATTACTCAATAATAGGAACTAAACGAATTTTTAAGCAGATATAAAGCATTATATTAAACAGTATTTTTTTTGAGATAGAATCTATGTAGTACAGGTTGGCCTCAAACTCTCCTTGACTCCTGACTCAGCCTCCCAACTGCTAGATTACAGGCATGTGCCACCAAACTTGGCAAATATTTTAATATTTAAAAATGAGAAAAATCCTTTTATAAAAATGTGAAGACCAGCCTGGGTTACATAAGCAAGTTCCAGGTCATCCTGCACCATACAGGAAGATCTTGTCTCAAGAAAGAAACACAAAAAGTGGGGGGAGGTATGTAGCTCAGCAGCACAAGTGCCTGTCTGGTAAGTATGAGGTCATGGGATCACTCCCTGGTACTTCCCCAAAATAAAGTGAAGGCAGAATGTAAAAGTGCATGTAAGACAACCCTAACATGATCTTAAAGTAACACACTAGGGTCGGGGATATAGTATAGTGGCACAGCATCTGCCTGGTTAAGCACAAGGTTCTGAGGTTTGATTCTCAGTACCAAAAAAAACAAAAAAAAAACATTGTAAAGAAACATCAAAATTAACTACAGGTTACCTCTGTACCATAAAAGTGCTTAGTATTTACTGAACAAACAAATAATAAAATTATGGAGTTTTTTTCTTTTTGGTAAAATCTGTACCTTTTCTATTTCTCTTACATCACATTTGTTTTATAATCAGGGAGGTAAATGTAAATGCTGATCAAGAACCATGCAAACAGAAAACCTATCAGAATTAAGATCTTTCTTTTTGACAGCACTATGGCTTGAACTTAAGTCTCATGCATGCCAGACAAGTGCTCTATCACTGAGCTACATGCAAGGGATTGAAAGTAGACATTTAGTCCTGTCCAACCTAAATTACTTATCGGTTTAAGCATAAAGATTTATGCAATCAAGGAAATCCCTTTCAAGTGGTTCCACTGAGTCAAAATCTATTTGCTCCTGAGGAAGACAAGGCTCAACTACACAACTATCTCTCCGGTTGATTTCTGACTTGAAAATAAGCACACTAAGCTTTTCTTTAAACTTAAAAAAAAAAAGATTTGCTTCTTTGCAAACTAAGCACTGATCCTATGTTCGTCCACTAAAAAAAATTTATTTGTGGTATTAGGGATTGAAGTAGGCTTTCTGCATTGATCTACATCCCCACCTGGTTTTTGTTTAATTATTATTTATTTGAAGACAGGCTGTGCTCATACTTAACAATCCTTTCTCAGCACACCCAGAATGTAGGGATTACAGGTGTACAACACCATGCCTGGTCAGCACATGTAATTTTCAGTTTTCACAAGTGGGTGTAGTGGTATACACCTGTAATCCCAGTACTCAGGAGGCTGAGACACAAGGCTTGCCAGGAGCCAAGACCAAGCTGAAGTACATAGCAAGACTGGGTCTCAAAAGACCAAGAAGCAGCAAGATATACCATGTACAAGTACAAATTCTCTATAGTGAATGTTATCATTATGTACATCTAAACATGTACCAATAAGGGGCTGGGTTTAGTTCATTGGCATAAGCGCCTGTCTTGCAAGTGTGTGGTCATGAGTTCAATCCCTGGTATCAATAAAAAAGAAAAAGACAAAAATAAATAAATAAAAAAATGTGTACCAATAAAATAAAAAAGTTTAAATACAGCTTAAAAAATACTTTAATGGAAAAAAAAAGACCTAATAAACACAAGATTTTCATCTTATAGCTCAGGGTACCCATCTATGAGGTACTTACATCAAATTTTCTTCTATTAATAAGATAGCATGACCTATTTTTTTTTTTTAAACAATGAAAGAGGGGTTGGAGATTTAGCTCTGGCATAAGCACCTGCCTGGCCAAGAGCTAGGTCATGAGTTCAATCCTGAGTACCAAAAACAAAACAAAACAAAACAAAACAAAAAAACAATGAAAGAGATAGCCTATTATAGTCCAACTTTACCTGCTCTATCTCACTGTTACTTTCCTCACTGGCAGCATCATTGGAATTAGCTTTGGGATGAGAGAGCCCATTTTTCAGTCTGGGACTTTTTTCTCCAATTTCTCCATTCACTTCTTTTTCTTTCTTCATCTTTTTGGGCTTAGGAGCATCTATATCTTCTTCAGAAGGCTCCTCACTTTTCACTGCTTTTTTAATTTTAGGAGAGGTAATTTTCTCTTCAATGGGCTCCTTTTGCTTCTTTGTATTTTTGGTTTTAGGAACAATAACTTCATCTTGAGGTGGCTCCTCTGATTTTTTGGTCTTTTTGGATTTAGATGGATTCGTGTCAACTTCAGACGGCCCTGCTTTATTCTTAACACTTTTAGCTTTGGAAGAAACAGTTTCTTCCTTTATTTCTGGTGACTCCTCAGTCTTGTTAGACTTTGTCTTCTCTTTTCTGCCTTTCTGAAAAATTCATAGAGAGAATACAAGCATTAAAGGGCTGGGGATTTAGCTCAGCGGCATAAGCGCCTGCCTTGCAAGTGGCCGGTTCAAAAAACAAACACTGAACAATGCATATATACATTTGTATTATCCATCAGTAAGTAATTTTACTATCTTCGAAAACCAAGAGTGTCCCTTAGTAAGCCACCTATGCAATCTGCTAAAGCAGGTTCATAATATCTACACCTTTCCCATCTCACAAAACAAGTGAAATAACAAATACATTTTATGTGGGAAAAAATTTCAATCTATAATTCCACGGTGAAAAAAAACAAAGCGCACATACCAAAAGCTAAAATACCTCAAAACCAAATCAGAGGTACCAGAGATTTAGCTCAGGGGCACAAGCGTTTGCCCCCAAAGTGAGGTCCTTAGTTCAATCCCGGGTAAAAAAAAAAAAAAAAAAAAAAAAAAAAAAAGAAAAATCCCCAAAACAAAAAAACACCACCACCACCAAACACAGATGACAGGTGTTACCATAAGTTTCTGATCCTCTCCAACTTTTCATATTACTGAAAATTTACAGCAGACAGGTGCTGTAGTCCCCTTAAAAACTCTAGCAGAGTGTAAACCAATTCCAGTTGTGGAAACTATACTGAACTAAAAATCTGCCTCCCTGAAACTTCATGTCCCGGGTTTGCTCCCAAACCACAGATTAAGGGTAATCTCTCTGACACATGGTCATACTTCAGCTATCCCACAATTGAACACACTTAAGTAGACAGTAAACCAAGATCATTACATTCCCACCGGTGGGTAACAAGCTTGTGTGCTCCCTATAATGCCAAAATATTGCTGTTTTAAGAGCTCCCAATTAAAAAAAGCTACAAGGAGGAAAAAAATGTAAATCTTGCAAAATACGAATTCAGAGTCAATCTTCGTTTCCACAGTTTATCTCAGAATAAAGTAACAGTTAAACGCTAAGGAAGTAATAGTTACGAATTAGAGGGCTACCAAGTAACAAGACTTAAGGAGACAACACTGTGGTCTTCACAAAAAATACGATGTTCAGGCAATACCTCAACAGGTCACTAAACTCCCACGGGAGGTCTGGCTAATAAGCACTATTTTAACAGGAACTGAAAGAGGGGTTGGAGATTTAGCTCTGATCTTCTAGGGGCTGTTGACAGGAGAAAAACTACTTCCTCTACTATTGGAAAAAGGTCACTGGAGATGCCGCCACGTGTGCAGAGTTTAAGACCTCGTTAGTCTAGTTTCAGTCCCCACTTCTACTTCATTCACAACTCTCTCTGCGCACGCTCAGCGTGCAACATGGGGCCTGACCGCGAGCATCCAGCGTCGCAAGCCGGGTCTCCCGGAACTCGTGGGTGCGTCCAGGCTGAGAGGTCGGTGTGACACAGCCGTCGGGAGGGCAAGATATCCCTTAGGCAGTGCCAGCACCAACTGGACATCTGCCGGCCGAGCCACAGGCCCAGCGTCCGGACGCGCCGGTCCTCGCCGCCTGCCACGCGCTCCCGGCACCGCCACCTCTCTGGAACCCCGGGGCCCCGTTCTCTCGGCGTCCCAGGCCCAGACCCTGCCTTGCGCCAGGTCGCTCGGTATTCACCTTCTCGTTCCCTTTCTTTTCCAAGGCCATGTCTGGTTCCAAACCGGCGTTACTACGGAGTTTTCCCGGCATCACTTAGCACGCGCTGCGCAGGCCAACCGCTCACCTCAACCGCGTGCAAGGAGGAAAAGAACTGCCCCTCGGCCCGCCCGGTGACGTCACTTCCTGTAGCAAGGCATTTCCTGCGGAAGCACAGGGTCCTCGGAAGTCTGGGGCCCACGTGGTAGGTTTAAAGTACCGGCCTCTGACGGTGTCCGAGCTTAGTGAATTAACTATAAGACATTCGGAGTTAGCGTTTGGCACCGAGGGTGGAAACCGAACGGAAACACAAAGATTAGCCTTGTATGTTCATTCCAACACTGGCCAGATTTCTCCTAATCCTGCCTGATAAACCAAGACTTAGTTGCTCTTGAATGGCGTTTCTTCAGGGCTGTGGGATTGCTCGTTTTTAAGGTCCTTTCACGTCGGAAAGGATGGTGTTTTTAACCGTCTTCTCGTTTTCACCTGGAAACCTTTTAAGGTGACGGCCAAATTCATGAGCCTGCATACGAGTGAGAATTCAGAAGGTTGTAGTCGTCCGTAAGTACACCTAGCAAATATTCCTTGAGGGTTTATTGTTAAGTGTGAGAAACAGGGCTGGGATTCACTGGTCGTCTTTTCCAGCCTGATAGCCGGATGATGTGATTTTCTCCAGAAATTCACCAGTTCAGGAGGCCGAAGCAGAGAGGATTGTGTGAAGTGGAAGCCAGTTTGGGAAACAACGAAACCCGGTTACCCGCCCCCGCCCATAGACTAATAGGGTAGAGAGAGGTGTGAGTGGTTGTTTCTTAGAAACAGAAAGACACCTAACTCAGTCTCGGAACCAGTTAGAAGAATCCAGACCATGCAGACTTTAATGGAAACTAACAGGGGCTCCCACAGTCGTGCATAATTTGGATAATATACTATTTTATAGCAGAAACAAAGTCCGTTAAATGAGCAATGACAGTACTCTTCGGCTTTTTCTGAAGAACTGGCGATTCAACAATCTGGGAATTTCGTCATAGTTTAAAAGAAGGGTGAAAATATCACCTGCCATTTGCTTTGTGATTATTATTATTGTTATTATTTTGTACCAGGGATTGAACTCAAGACCTTGCACTTGCCAGGCAGGTGCTTATGCCACTGAGCTAAATTCCTGTCCTGCTTTGTGATTTTGATCAATTTACTTAACCAAAGACTCCCGCGTATGAAAGAGATAACAAGTTTTTGTTTGTTTGTTTGCGAAATCTAAGATAATGAAAAGCATTTACCAGTCCTTGAATCATAAAGTGCAATGAACAAGTTCGTGAAATTCTCAGGTGTGTCACAAATGTTTGGAAAAAAATTCAAAATATATCTGTATTTCATGGGGTTCTTACCGAACCTTTAAAAATCTAATAAAAGTTTTTGTATTGAACGGTAATTTAGAAGAACGTTTTTATCATGATTCCTTTCATACTGAGAATGGGAGGAGATTAGTAGATTATGTAGAGGAAAAGACATGCAGGGAAATCGTTGAGGAAGGAAATACCAATCAAGACAGAATCTTGAGCAGGTTCTTGGAGTGGGCAAGTTGGCAAGGAAGGAAATGGAGAAGTGGAGTTAGGGTTGGTGTGGTGAGGAAGGTTAAAAAAAAAAAAAAAAAAAAACTGTCCATGTGGCCTAGTGCGCAGGCGCAATGAGCCTAAAGCGCTTAGCACAGGCAGGGTAGGTTGTAGAACTCAAATGAAAATGGAGCATAATTGAAAACTGATAGAGACCCAGAGCCGCGGGAGTTTACAACAGAACATGTCTTCACCGTTACTCATACCCAGGTGTCTCGGGGAACGCTCTCCAGTAAGTTGACAAAACACATGAACCACACAGTCGTCACCCAGCAATCATTATTGCTGTGATTATATTTTAAGTAGAGGCCAGTGACCGAAGCTCTCATGTCGCCAACTTCCTTCTGGTTAATTGTCCAAACCCCTTAGGCAAGAAGCTGTTCCTACCAGTCCCAGTGCTTCCTGCATTTTGTATATACTGCTGGTTCTGGGAAAGTGACTAATTAGCGCCAGGGCTAATTGGCATCTATGTAACATTCTTTTGTTTCCGCTTCAGGATGGGGGGGTGGGGGTAGGGAGGTGGAGCAGGGGGAGGTGCTGCGCTGGGAGGGGAACTAACACATGACCTAGCTACATCCATCACCTTGCCCCTGTCCCTAGGGTTTCCTTATAGCATCTTTCACATGTATTTGTATTTCACATATAACTGCAGCTTCTGTTATACAATATAGCTTTTGACTCTGAAACATCAATTTAGGTTTCAGGAGAAATAATCAAAAGGTTGTAAAGGTAAGACCAGGGAGAAAAAGTTAAAGAAATTGAGATTAATTAGCTTTAAAAGATTAATGATTAATGACTTAACAGCGTTCAATGGATTTTTTTTTTTTTTTTTTTTTTTTTTTTTTTGAGACAGGGCCTCACTGTGGAGTTCAGGCTGGTCTTGAACTCAAAGGCAATCCTCCTGCCTCAGTCTCCCAAGTGCTGAGATTATAGGTGTGCGCCATCAGGCCTGGCTCAATGGAATCTGAGTTTTCGGAGGTTAAGAAAAAAAAAATCACCAGCTCCTAAACCTCATTTCTGTAGTCTCCTGGCTTTTTTACAGGATGCTGATTTTGATATTTTAACTTATCCTCTTGTCTTGGTGACTGGAAGTGCGGCAAATGAGAATGAGGTAAAGGTAAAGCAATTCCAGTCTATATTCTGGAATCCTTGGGGGTAAACCTTGAGTAACAGGAAATGAAAAATGTTATTAATGTGGAGTTGAGGCTGAATACAGTATATAGAATTTTTGAACCCTTTATTGTTTCCTTTAAAATGCAGAGGCTTAAGAACAGAGCTCCTGCGGGCTGGGGATTTAGCTCAGTGGCATAAGCACCTGCCTTGCAAGCAGGCAGTTGTGAGTTCAATCCCTGGTACCAATAAAAAGGAAAAAGACAAAAAAAAAAAAAAGAATTTGAAGAACAGAGCTCCCCATCTTGTCCCCCATTCATTCCTTTAGTAAGAGCTGAAAATGACTAGGCCAGGAATGGCCAACCATTCTGGGGTTTTCTTTTGTGTAATGCAGATGGCAAGATCATGGCATGTGTATCTCACCCCAGCATGACACCTGGCTCAGGAAATTCTGGAAAAGGTTGGTTGAATTAGATTTAGTGTCCAGACTTTCCAATTGCGGAATGACATTAAGGATGATACTAAATATTTGAAGCAGATCTTAAATTGAAGCACTTGATTAGCTTTAAATACATGTTGTCATGGTAGAGAAAACTACTGGATGTTTGCAATAGGTTTTTTTTAACGGTACTGGGGATCGAACTCAGGACTGCCTGCTTGCAAGGCAGGTAGGTGGCTTATGCTACTGAGCTAAATCCCTAGCCCTTGCAATAGATTCTTACTTTGGAACAATTCATTCAGCTTTACAAAGAAAAGGATTGTAGTTTGCAAATATCCAAATATGAGAGTTGGTTTTTCTGTGTAATAAAAAGAATAAAAGTAATGCAGTTAAGTTTACTTTTATATGTTCTACAGTGACAAGGTAGAGAAGCAAAGTGATTCTTCAGCTAGGGTCACCTGGTATTTATTACAGGTTTGTGCCCCCAAAATATGTTAAAATGCCAACCCCCCAGTATCTATCATAAAATAACAAGAATTTTAAGTTTCATGTAAGCTATTATTTGAGGTTTGTCTCAGTTTTAACAACTTAGGAAAATGTGCAATAACTTTAACTTATACTGGAATGAGTTAAGAACCTTAATGTATCCACCTTTGTATCCTCAAAATTTCAGACGGTGTTTGACACACAGAAGTCACTAAATATTTATCAAATATTAACATGGCACTGGTTAGTGGGTGCAGGAAAAATTATAACCAGATGCTCAGGCAAGATAGCATGTCAACCACCCTAATACTTAAAGAGGAGCAGATGTGAATACAACTAAGGAATTGACTGACAAAATGCTCAACAGCTCAGATTTTAGCATTGTGCCAAGGATTTTGGAGTACCTCAGTTCCTGCCTCAGTGAGCCTCCAGATTGTTTGATAAACCCAAAAAACTACATGATAATGCTGCTGTACAAGACACTGGTGTACCAAGTACATGCACACATTTAACAGATGTTCAACACGAGAGTAAACCCTGGAACACTACAAAGTGTAAAATAGGTGTCAAAGCTTAAAGTATGTACGTTTCTCATAACATACCTGCAAATAGGCACAAGCCCAAAATTCCAAGAAGAAAAATGCAAAAGGCTTCTTGGGCTCCAAGGTGGGTAACTTTACCAAAATTAAACAGTACAAAATTCAGTTAACAAGTGAAAGAATTAAATCACATATATTTGACAGGAAATGGGACATTCTGGTTATCAGTTCTGCTAAAGAGGTGCTGGGGTATTAGCTCAGCAGCATAAATGCCTGCTTGGTGAGCTCAAGGTCGTGAGTTCGATCTCCAGTACCAAAAGAAAAAAGTTTCAATTCTGCTGGACAAGATTCCTCTGATCTAGATGTTGTGCTATTTTTTCATAAAATTAGTAAAGATTTTAAAGGTATGCACACATACACGCACACACACATTGAAAGTCTACACAATAAAATGTTAGCATTAGTTATCTCTGAGTGATGTGATTTGGGTGGTTTTTATTTTCTTCCATTTGCTTCTCTGTTTTGCAGATTTTCAACAATGGACATATATTATTAATAAGAGAAAGTATGGATTTTTAAAAATTACTGTTATGCACTACTCACAGAAAATGTGAGGAAAGCTCTCAGACATTCATACCTAAATGTAATTTCATTATTCCAAATTCTAATGCTGAATAGAGTAAAACAGATGTTATTTCATTTACAAATTCAAAAGACCAGAATAACTGATTCAAGTTGAAGTAGCTATTAAGTGATCAAACTAGAGAACACAGTGCCAAATTGGAAACTGAAAGCTGAGATCCATAAAGGTGCTGAGTTCTAAAAGGATCAGAACAAAGCTAAGCAGCTAAGTGGATCTGAAAGCTGAGAAAGAATCCAGTTGGAAACTTTCTCTGCCCGTCCCTTTCTCAAATGTACAGGAAGCTATTATCTGATCTTGTTAGGACCCCTGCTAAAAGGGAGATGATCTGTAATCCAGCTTGCTAACATTTACCTACATGCTTATCTTTTTCACCCTCTCCTGAAATCCATGACTGTCCAAAGTTTAAGTCCCCCAAGATGCAACTCTTGCTTCTTCTCTCACCACTTTCTTCAGTGAAGACCCTAGCAATAAGAGCTCAAGCATGGATCCCTATAATTTAGACCACATTGTTTTATTAGCTATTCTGGGCTTTTTGGCCTGGGTGCCCATTTCCACTTCCCTGTTTTTTTTCTCTTTTTTTTGGCCAGTGGGGATGGATTGAGTGTCTTGACGTGTAATTCAGGATGACCTTAAACTTGCAAAATCCTTTTGCCTTAGCCTCTTGGATGCTGGACTTATACAACTATACCACCATGCCCAGTTTTCCCTGGTTTTTGTTCTGCCTGACTTAATTCATGGGAAAAAAACTTTCTCTGAGCCCCTCCTCGCATTTCTAGCCTGAGGCCAGGGACTTAGCCCTAAAAGCACTTGCCTGGCAAGGTCAAGGTTGTGAGTTCAATCCTTGCTACCAAAACAAAAAACGAAAAAGTGAGGCTCCATTTCTAGCCTAGGTGATCTTAGAACTTGCAATGCACTGCACTTTGTCATGGACTGAGGTTTCTATGTATCTCCTGGGGGACTGAGTACTCTATTCACCCAAAAAATACTGCCTGGGATGACACTGTGAGCATACCTCACAATCTGAGTGAATGGGCTAGTACATGAGCAAATAAACTTAAGAGCTCACAACTGCAGAGCTGAGGTTCACCCCCCAGTAACAGCTGTCTGGAACTGTTTCCCCACTTCAATCCAGCACTGCACATCCTCCACTCTGCCACACCTGAAATCCAGTGTGTCCAGAGAAAGACCCCTTGCACATTCCTGTACCTCACTGGTATCAGTGTTCCCCTTTTCCTCAAACCCATTTCCAAACCATCACTGCTTTGCTCTCACAAAACAGCCCTCATACTCTTAAAAGAGAATGTGGTACTAGGGTATTTCCCTTCCCCTTCTCCATTAATTGATGTGTTGGACCCTAGGTTTGTCTTCTTCCCTACTCAGTCCTAGCTTGTCTTGAGAGACTTTTTTTTTTCTTTTTTCCAGTACCGGGGATCGAACTCATGTATCCTAGACTTTAAGAGTCCATCAAATCTACCTACACACCTGGTTTTGAAGTGACCCTTGTCACCTACAGGTGCACCACCATCCCCTGCACTTGTCTCCTCAGCTGCTCCCCTCTTTAAGTCTCTGGCATCCCTTGAGTCCCCTGCCCTTCCT